ATAACCTTGGCCCTAATACAGATTATTTTATTTTAGAGTAATTGAACTACCAAAAAAGCATCTAAAATAAATTTTTAGATTGTTTCTTAATGCATTTACCCATGTAAAAGATGAAGAAATTGTTTTATTTAACACGTTCATTCATTCATTCATTCATTCTATTTTAAAACAAAGCTAATTTGAGAATTGTAAGCATGCCTACACATTTTATACCTTTTTTTTTCTAACAGACAAATAAGATTGAGACATGTGAATCAATTGTCTGTCTTTTTGATTCAAGACTTCAATGTATAGGATTACTGGCTTGCTAATGTCACCAGTTTTATTGTATTTGATATACTGTATAGACATGATTATACTAGTGTTTAATGTTCAGAGTAATATTTTTAAAGAAATTTCTTTTAATTAAAAGAGCATACATTAAATCGATCAAAAGTAATATTTATTTTCCAAATAATTGCTGTTCTTTTAAACTTTCTATTCATCAAACATCCTTAAAATCTGTCATGAATTCCACAAAAAGTTTAAGCAGCACAACTGCTTCAACATTTGGTGTTCAGGAAGCATAAGAAATGTTTCTTGAGCAGCAAATCAGCATATTATTTCTGAAGGATCATGTGACACTGAAGAATGGAGTAATTGCTGTTAAAAATTCAATGTTACCATCACAGGAATAAATACATTTTTAAAATGTATTAATATAGAGAAGAGACATTTTATATTTGAATAATTTAACAATTTTAAAGTTTTTACTGTATTTGTGATCAAATCCTTTGTGAGCATAAGAGACTTACCCCAAGTAATTTCCAACAGCTTCACATAAATGTAGTAGATATGCCCATCTGGGCGTTTCCTGCAGACATTGCAAATCCAGTGTGAATTACTGATGGGTGATACTGATTTTGGACGTTCTGTCCTGAAAACGAATCCTTTCTGAATAGGGTTTAAGATGCTGTCTGTAGAGCTTAACTTCTATTGAATCCAGAACAGTTATTAGAAGTCATCTATATACAGTCCTCCAATGGAGAACAGTTAACTGTATTTTTTAACTGTATTTTTATTGTAATTATTATAATTGCATTAGCGCTGCTGCAATTAGAATCAATGTGGTACATTTGTCAGTTGCTCAGACCCCATCATGAAAAATCTTTCTCTCTCTCAAATGCTGAAATGATGCTGATTCATCTTTTAAGGGCTGATCACAAAAGTCCTTTTGTTCTTTGGCGTCGACGACAGAACAAAGCGCCGTCCTGTTTTCAAAAGAGCTCTGAATCACTGGAGTGAGTGCCATGTAATTTAAACCAGACCTATTCATATCTCATAGATAATACAAAAACTATCAACACAAAGACACCAGGCCACTTTTCCCTGATAGAATCCTTAATGTATGCCTACACGCTAACAGCACCGTGCCATGTTCCTTTAGATCATTGCGACAATGTGTACGCACAGACCCAGTGCACACTTTGACTGAAAACAAAGATTAAATCCAGAGTGTGTGCATGTGCCATATTGCTAATTGTCCAGGACTTTGGATTTGATATCTCTACAGAATTATTTTGGCTGGGAGCCTCTAATGGCATGTAAAAAGAAAAACGGAAAAACTTTTATTTCTTAATATAACATCCCTGTTGGTCAGTGCCTCATTTTGGAAAAATGTAGTAAAGTTTCCTTTCTGAGCTAGTGAACTTCCTTTCTGTCTGTCACTTTAGAGTTGGTTCACATACAACATTTTTGCGTTCCAGAGTTTTTATGTTTATTTTTTGTATTAATTGTTCACGTACATATTTGATAACTGAGATGCATCTTGCTACTTCTGTAACGCAAATGAGCAATGTCTTTTTAGACTCGGTTAAAGTTGATACAGAATGCGTTCGTGTGTTTAAAAACAGCAGATGTAGATGTAACAGCAGAAAGGAAAAGAACACAAGATGCGTTGACGTCATTTAAAAAATGCAGCGCTCATACACTAAACGTTATAAAAGCAGCGAGACTTGGTACAGTGTTCAAAGACCTACATAGAAAAACTATTAAATGGCAGTGCAATGAAATGCAAAAATGTGAGATGCAGGGCAGTATAGTGGAGAAAAAATACAAGGTAACTTTTAAACTTTAGTGGCATATTTTTATAATGCAGTTTCACACGCAAGATGCTGCGAAAGACGTGAACAAAATGGTCAAAGATGTCATCTAGCATATGTTTATATAGAAAAACACTGGGGGGAAAAATCATTTTTGTGTTTAAAAATGTGAGAGGCATGGTAGTGTAACGAAAAAATAAGCTAAAAATGTGTTTTTTAAAAGTTGAACTACTTCAATGCTACGTTTCTTAGTGCTGCATTTGTGTGTAGTTTGAGATGCAAGTGTGACGGCCAAATACAGTTTAATGCATGTTTACATAGAAAAATAATGAAAAGGCAGTGCAGTCAAATACAAAATGCATTCTGTGTGAACGCCCCCTTAGAATGCATCTGCTTTGCATCCCTTACTTCTACAATGCATGATGTTTGCATGCCTTTTGATATCGCCTCATCTTTATTTAGACATTTAAAATGCAGCCTGTTATCTCTGCATTTCTTATCGCGTGTGTGTGTGTGTGTGTGTGTGTGTGTGTGTGTGTGTGTGTGTGTGTGT